ATTACCTAGGCCAGGTATGGTGGCTCATGCCTATAATCCCAGTACTTTGGTGTTGGAAGCCAGCCTTGGAGGCCTGCCTGATTGACAAAGTCCAGGTATGCTAAAGACCCCCGGCTGCAAAGCGAGTCTGGGCAGCTGAGGTCCTTCTGTCTTCCGTCTCTGCTGTTGGTACGGCTGAAGAAATTCTGTGCAATTGTGGAAGAAGAAAATGGCATGTTTATGCCAAGTACTCACAGCTAACCTGGAAATGTCATGGTTCATTTTTCCATTTCCCACTATGCTGTTTGTCCTTTTCTAACATATGCCAGGGTTAAACTCTGAAGCATATCAAGAATGCTTTCTTTCACTTGGTTATAAGTTACTAGATATTGCTTAAGTAATAAATGATATAAGTATATTCACTTCTTATTTGATTTAGAATTATGTAGTTTAGTGTTTAGACATAAGGTTTTTTAGAAGCACAAGTTTATAGTAAGTTCATTATGAATTCATTATAAGTTCTAACACTTATCTAGGAGTTATGTAGGTGATTTATAACACTGTTTTCACTGACTTAGAATAAAGGTTAATCATTAAGATTTTTACTTAATTCAATAGTTAAAACTCTAAGTTAACATTTATAGAGTGGGTTTTCACTGAACTCATAATATACTAATCAGACACTTTTATGATAAATTAGCTAAAGACAGAAAGCAAGCTTGGGGCCTGGGAAACATTACTAAAAGCTTCTTTGGAATTCTCTTTAGAAATAAACACTGCAGGATAAGAGAAGAGTAACGAAGACACCTGGACAGGAGAGGCGATTACAAAGCTCTGAAGGTCATAGAAGCCCCAGAAGGAAAACTACTGCTACATGAAGAAATGTACACTTGGAAACTTTCTTGAGACATTTCAAGGACTGTAATTCGGGACTTTGGACTAAAACTATCATTTTTGGCTTTATGAATAAGACTCATTGTCTGAATGTTTATAGGGTTCTTGGCTTGTTTGTTGCTAAGACCACTAGATGGTGGTAACTTTTAGAGGATATGTACGTGAAGGAATTTTCTTTGTCTTGCCCCTTTACAAATAGTATAAAAGCTTTCCCTTAGCTAACATTAAACGTCATCTGTTCAGGAAGCAGGTGTCCGAGTATAATATTTTCGTCTTTCGCCTATCCATCTCTCCTTCAGGAAACCTCACGACTCTTGTAGGGGCTGGACTCCCGCACTTTGGGAGGCCGAAGTGAGAGGATTGCTGTGAGTTCATCATGAGTTCAAGACCAGCCTGGGCAAACTGGCGAGCCTCATCTCTTTAACAAATCAAATCAAAAAATTAGCTGGGTATCATGGTACATGCCTGTAGTTCCAGCTACTTGAAAGGCTGAGGCGGGGCCAGGTGCAGTGGCTCATGCCTGTAATCCCAGCATTTTGGGAGACTGAGATGAGAGGACTGCCTGAGCCCAAGGGTTCAAGACCAGCCTAGCCAACTTGGCAAGACCTCATCTCTACAGTAAATCAAAAAAGTAGCAGGGCATGGTGGCATGTGCCTGTAGTTCCAGCTACTTGGAAGACTGAGGCAGAAAGATCACCTGAGCCCACCAGGTTGAGGCTACAGTGGTGGTGAGCGTGCCACTGCACTCCAGCCTGGGCGGCAGAGTGAGACTCCTACTCAAAAAAAAAATGTTTTTAATACCTTTATTACACATTAAAAATCTGGGAAGACTTTTTTTTCCTTCCTGCCCCAAGAGTTTATAAGTATGGGCAGCACAGCAAGTTTTTTATTTTAAAAATCATGTGAAATGGTAAAAGATAATATCCATAGATTAATCCAACTTCTAAGAGGCAGTGAAATCCTCAAGCAGTGTACCAGATTAAGTAAAGTTGCCTCATCATCAGGAATTTACAGCTTCATTCCTACACTTAGAAGGACCCAACAAGGAAAAATTGTTCCCAAATGACACTCCAGGATGGATTTCTAAGTCTTAACTTCACCCAATATTGAGCATTTCTCTCCCACTGGTCTTTTGGATTCACAACAGTAATTCTGTCTCCTCCCGCCTCAGCCATCCAAGTAGCCAGAACTACAGGCACATGCTACCATGCCCAATTAATTTTTTTTCTTTTTAATTGTAGATATGAGGTCTCACCAATTTGCCCAGGCTGGTCTCAAACCCCTGGGCTCAGGCAATCCTCTCACCCTGGCCTCCCAAAGTGCTGGGATTACAAGCTTGAGCTATAGCTCCCGGCCCAAAAGAAATTTTTTTTTTTTTTTTAAGGAAAATGAGTAATTAATTCTGAGCTAAGGAGTCCAAGGACTACACCTTCAGAAATTGTCTAGGGGCCCTAAGGCTTCAGATGCAGACAAAGGTAGATTGAATGAACCCTCCTCCCCAACTCCCACCAGGATAAAAGCAGAGGCTTCCAGTTATGATTTATTGAATTCTCTGTATCAGATACTGGGCCAAACCCTTTACAAAGATTATTTTATTTAATCCTTATAACCCATTTATACATGTGAATGCAGAAATTCAGAAAAAAATAAGTAATTTGCCCAAGATCGCTCAGCTCTGAGTAAGCAGAGCCAGGTCTGGGACCCAGGTTTGAATCCCAAGCCTGTTCTCAACTAACATGACCATGATGTTCAAGAGTTTCAGTGCCCGGTACCTGATGACAGCAAAGGGAAGGCTATAAAGCCACACCCCCTCTGCAACTGGGCTGAGGAAGAATCCCCATGAGCCACAGGTCAGGTAAACAACCACAGCAGGAGAGAAAGCAGATGATTAGACAGGCTCCAAGGTCCAGACACAAGGAACTATGGACAGAGGGGCTGATGAGGTAAGGATTACATTCTGGAGTGCAAAAGGGACAGAGGACAAAGATGAAAGATGTTGGGTAGTGACACATGGACAAGAGGCTTTAAAGGAACTGGCTGCCCTCAAGTAAATCAATGAAATGCCAGGGAAAACTTTTGATCAGACACAGGTCCAAGGTCCCTGGGTTCTATGGCCTTTGCTGGTTAGTCCTGCATTTATACTGTTCAACGGATAGGAAAAATAATGAGTTTGAGGCATCAAAACCAAAACCAACTTTGGATGGAGCCCAGGACGCTTTATAGAATATTAAATTCTCATTCATTGAAGTGGCATAAAAACAGTACCTAATCTCATAGAGTATAGTGAGAATTAAATGAGATAATTTGAATAAAGTGTTGCATGATGCAGGACACACAGGCGTTAGACAGACGTTAGCTGCTATAATCATTAATTACTACTAATTATTACTATACTCACGCTTACCAAGCAATCACTGTGGCATCTTGTTTCTGAGAGACCCTGAGGTCAAATGTGTCTCTACAAATAGTTTTCTCTCTCAAGAGAGCTTTTGTTAAAAGTGTTCTTTTTTGTATACACTCAAGAGTGAAAAGTCACATCTCCAAATATATCCACAATTTCTCAAAAAAAAAAATGTTTTAGCTTCCCCTTTACCTTTAGTTATAATTATCCAAAGATCAACTTGATACAACTGTTCCATCCAAATTTATTCTCAGGGAAAAATAAAGTAATGGTTCTGCACAACTTTCTCATTCACCAACCCCCTTTTTCATGCATCAGAACTTACTCTGTGATTGTCGGTTGAATTTCCTTCCAATAGGCTTCAACTACTTAGGAGATGCCTCAAACAAATGAACTTCATTTTCAGACAACAGGTCCAAGCAAGCCAGCAGGAAGACTTCACAGCTGAATCGTGATGAACACATGACTGTTTCCTCACCAGTCAGGAAGCCCTGATATTAGGGAAAAACTCCACCCTCTACCCCTTGATATAGCCACAGCTCACAGTGAAGAAATGATGAGACAGACTTCCTGAGTAGGAAGCATGTAGGTGATCTGGGATAGAAGGGAATGGAAAGACAGGAGAAACTAAGCTTCCCTATGAAATGAAAGAGGGAAAAAGAATATTACAGAACAAACCAAGATCAGAAAACAAGACCCATCGTGCCTCCAAGATAAACAAGACACCACTCTACCTGCTCTGATGAAAGGGTACACCATGTGTCTAGGGAGAGAGGATAAATGTCAGAGACAAATATACAAAGGGGTCCCAAAAAAACCAAAATTATTTTTTGAAGGCCAGGCCCCTTGTAGTACAGGCTTCCCTGCTAGGTGAGTGTTCTAGGGGTCTATTAGTATCAGTGTTCCAGCTAGCATTGTTGTGAGAGGCTGTGTTCAGCTTCAGTGAATTTTTTTGGAGAGATTCTTTCAATGCAGTGGCCCATTTTAAAATGGGTGATTTATGAGCACATCTACCCTGAGTGTTCAGCAGTTTTTATCTAAAACCGGCTTGACCCTCGTGCCCCATGCTCTCTATTCACCTGATCTCGCCCCGAGCAACTTTTTTTTGTTTCCCCAGATGAAAAAAGTCCTCAAAGGAAAATGTTTTGCTAATGTGGAAAAGGTAAATCAAAAAGCATAGCCAGGCGTGGTGGCCCATGCCTGTAGTTCCAGCTACTTGGAAGGCTGAGGCGGAAGGATCACCTGAACCCAGCAGGTCAAGGTTGTGGTAGCCAGGAGCATGCCACTGCACTCCAGCCTGGGCGACAGAGTGAGACTCAAATCCAAAAAAAAGGCGACAGAAGCACTAAAAGGAATCAAAATCGATGAGTTCAAAAACTGTTTTGAGCAATGGGAAAAACACCTCGATAGGTTTATTGTAACAAGCAGAGAGTACTTTGAAGGTGACTAGAGTTTAAATATGTAAGAATAAATACACAGATTTTTATATATAAGTTCTGGGTTTGTTGGGTCCCCTTGTATAGCCAGCCCTATGCTCCTACACTCTGCATTAGGTGTGAACATGGCTTTATTCCCATTACTCAGCCCTGTTGTGGGTCCTGGAGACAGTGAGTCAGGCATGTCCCTTGCATCCTCCCTAGAGAACATAGCCATGACAAACCCAACTTCCTAATTCTTGAACTATCTGAGCCACCCTATATTGTGGTCTCTCAAGAATAGAATAAACTTTGTAAAAAAGCTGCATGTTTTAATTCAGAAAATGAGTAGAAGATGCTTCAAACAATGGGCCACACTTGCAGCAAAGCGCAGCTCTGCAGAAATCACTTTGTCCAGTGCGTCCTGAGGTGCTCCTTCAGCTGAGGAATGGAAACAAGCAGCTGAGGGCATTCATGGCAATGAAGAGGCAGCTTTAAGAGCTCAGACGCTCCATCTCGGACAGTCACTCTACCAGTCTCTTGCACCATCTTGATCACAGCTGCAAGCAAGGAAGAAAAGTTAAAATCCCAGCTACTCTGGAAAACCAAAATAAGATTAAAAGAAAAAAAAGAGAAAGAAAGCATGATTCCAAACAATATGCCAGATATTCCAATGCTAATAAGCTTGAGGTTAGACTTCCTGCTGAGAAAATGAGTTGATCAGATTCTATATCTGAGCAACCTATCTTTGAAATAATGCATTCCTTGAGAACACACGCTAGGCAATTCATGTTACTAAGTCAAGTGCTTTACCCTTAGGTAGTCCTTAGTTAATGATAATTGTCATTGTCCCAGTAATACTTAAATTCCACAGTATACACATCCGAAAATGCTTCCTTCTACATGTTATTTAACCACTCCTGACACAAGGCAGCCCCTAAGCTCCTGCCCAACTGAAGGCAGAAGAGATTGCTTAGTGCTTTCTCATCCACGAACTCCAATAATTCTCACAACCTTTATGTGCCCTGTTGTCACCATAAAATATTATTTTATTTTTTTTGAGTTGGAGTCTTACTCTGTCTGTTGCCTAGGCTGGAGTGCAGTACCACGATCATGAAGATCACAGCTCATGGCAGCCTTGACCTCGTGGGCTCAGGTGATCCTTCCATCTCAGCATCACAAGTAGCTGGGACTACAGGTGAGCACCATTACGCACAGCTAATTTTTTTTTTTTTTTTTTTTGTAGAGACAAGAGTTTGCTATGTTGCTCAGGCTCGCATAAAATACTTTTTGATCCTATCATAATAGATTTCTAGGTCTCCCAAGAAGGCTGCTCACAGCAACGCGGCAATCATACTACAATCCAAATAATCCTGTTTCTTTTCACAGAGCTCTCTATATAAGGAACTAAAAGTTGTACATGAGTTTTTGAGTCCAGGTTGTTATTTAGGGAAACAACCGAATCAAATATAAGAACAGCTGAAAAGACAAAGCAAGTGTGCAAACCAAAGAACTCTGTTTACCTTGTGATTCTAGGAAGTATTCTGTATTGAAAGAATTCCAATGTTTTTTGTTTTTCAGGCAAGGAGAATCAAAATCCTGGCTGATTACATGAAGGTGTACATGGCTAGATAAAAGAAAAAGAACTGATCATTAAACTCATTTAAAACTATGGCTTAATCAAAATGACAATTAGTAAATGACTTAATCAAAATGACAATTAGTAAAAATACGAGTACATAAAGTATTAATAGTGTGTCCAATTAATTCAATTCATTCATTCACTTAAGAATATTTAATGCTCAATAAGCAGGTACTAGGGCCAAGCACTGTCCTAGGCACTGGGAATTTAGCTATGAACAAAATGGGAAAAGCCTCTGCCCTAACAGAAATTAAATGAGCCAGGCACGGTGGCTTAGCCTGTAATCCCGTGCTATGGGATTGCCTGAGCCCGTGGGTTCGAGACCCACCTGGGCAACTTGACGAGACCTCATCTCTACAATAAATCAAAAATTAGCCAGGCATGGTAGCGTGCGCCTGTAGTTCCAGCTACTTGGAAGGCTGAGGCAGAAGAATCATCGGAGCCCAGCAGGTCGAGGCTGCAGTGACCAGGAGTGCCCACTGAACTCCAGTCTGGGTGACAGAGTGAGACTCCAACTCAAAAAAAAAAGAAATTAAATGAAGGAACAAAATTAATATAATTATGATAATATAATTAATGAAGAAAGACAAATAATAAATAAGTAAACAAACAAGGAAAATTCATATAGTCAACACTGCTAAGAAAAAATAAAAGAGGGAAATGGGATAGGGAGTGTCTGGGGGTAGAAGTTGCCTCTTTAGTGTTCAAGAAAAGCCTCTTCCAGGCACTGACTTAAGCTGAGAATGCAGTCATGCAAGCAAGGTCTGTGGGAAGAGCATCTCAGGGAATAGGGAGGCCAAGAGCAAGGGCCCTGGGATGAGAAAAAGCTTGGTGCAACAAAGAAACAGAAAGAAGGTAATGTGGCCTAAGTGTATGGCCTGAATTGTTGGGGCTGAGAAGCAGAGGCAGCTCAGTTCCTGTGAGTTGTAATCCCATAGATATAGGAATATTCTTAAGCTCCTTGAGCAAATCCAATACCCCAGCTGCATTCTTCTTCTGTACCATCTTGTCCATCTTCTTCTTTTTTTTTGAGTCAGAGTCTCACTCTGTCACCCAGACTGGAGTTCAGTGGCACGCTCCAGGCCACCGCAACCTCGACCTGCTGGGCTCCAGCAGTCCTTCCGCCTCGGCCTTTCAAGTGGCTGGAACTACGGGCACACACTATCACGCCCAGCTAATTTTTTATTTATTGTAGAGATGAGGTCTCGCCAAGTCACCCAGGTAGGTCTCGAAACCGCGGGCTCAGACAATCCACTCATCCATTCACCTCGGCCTCCCAAAGCGCGGGATTATAGGCTGAGCCACCGAGCACGGCCAAACTTCTTTTTTTTTTCTTTTTTTGAGTCAAGGTGGAATCTCACTGTTGCCCAGTTTGGCGTGCAGTGACACACTCATAGCTATTGCAGCCTCAACCTGCTGGGCTCTGGCGATCCTTCCACCTCAGCCTTCCAAGTAGCTGGAACTACAGGCACGTGCTATCACACCCGGCTAATTTTTTGATTTATTGTAGAGATGAGGTCTTGCCAAGTTGCCCAGGCGGGTCTTGAACCCACGGGCTCAGGCAATCCACTCACCTCAGCCTCCCAAAGCAGGGGATTACAGGTTGAGCCACCGAGCCCGGCTCCATCTTCTTGACAATGAGTGCCACCTTGTCATCAATGGCTCTGACAGGTCTTCCCTATACCCAGCCAGCTGAAGACGCGAAGTGAATGAAGCTGGGGTGGAAGGACAGCAAGAAATAAAAGAGCATCCTGGGCTGGGTCCAGTGGCTCAGCACTTTGGGAAGCCAAGGCAAGAGGATCGCTTGAGCCCAGGAGTTCGAGTCCAGCCTGGGCAACATAAGTGAGACCTTGTCTCTATTTAAAAAAAAAAAAAATCAGTTGTGTGGAGAAAGGATTGTAAGAAGGGTAAGGAGGGACACAGGGAGACTAGTTAGGAGAAATTATCACAGCTTAGAACAGAGCCAACCTGTAGTAGTTGACATGGCAAGAAACGATTCTATTTTGAATATATTTTGGAATCAAACCAGCAGGACTTACTAATGGACTGGAGGTTAATTTAGGGCAGTGCCACTTACTGAGATGAAGAAGACTAGGTGAAAAAGATCTGGGGGAGAAAATCAGTAGTTCTGGTCATGTTAAAAACAAGTACTGGGAGCGGTGGCTCACGCCTATAATGCCAGTCACTTTGGAAGGCCAAGGTGAGAGGACTGCCTGAGCCCACAGGTTTGAGACCAGCCTGGGCAACTTGGTGAGACCTCATCTCTACAATAAATCTAAAAATTAGCCAGGCATAGTGGCGCGTGCCTGTATTTCCAATTACTTGGAAGGCTGAAGCGGAAGGATCACCTGAGCCCAGCAGGTCAAGGCTGCAGTGGCCATGAGCATGTTATTGCACTCCTGTCTGGGTGACAGAGTGAGATTCCAACTCAAAAAAAAAAAAAAACCAACAAGTAAAATGCCTTTTTGTATAACTATCACTCTTAGAATCAGTAATATTTCACATTCCCCCAATGAATAATCAAAATCAATCAGCATGTATACAGAACTCAAAATGAAATATAAGTGGTAACAAACATAACTATATTACAAATGAACATGGAAACCACACTGAAGGGGCTGAAGAAAGAAAATAACCAACTTTGGAAACAGTATTTTGACTAGATATTATAAGGCTGAAGATGAAAAGAACTGTACACAAATACTGTACTCCAGTTGGTATATGTCGTTTTCACAGGGGTATGGTCTAGTAATTCTATAACCATTTTATGTGTACAATAGGATTGAACAAGTAAGTGAATTTGTTGTAACTAATGAGTCAGTGAGTCAGGTTTCTCATTGGTGGAGAAAGAAAAAGGGAAAGGGGAAACAAGCATGAACCTTGCAGAGCTGGACTGGAGTCAGAGTTATCAGTATGAACCTTTGGTTTTCCAAGTATAGACAGATACAGAATGATTGATGTGTGCCTGTGTCCATGTGGGTCAGGATATATACATGTATTTCCTGGTTCTATCAGCTGAGAAGACCTAGAAGCAAGGACACCCTGGAATCAACTACTTCTCTCATTACAAAAACCTAGTGCCTAAGTCTTAGTTTATAAACACCATTCTCAAAAAAAAAAACAAGGACTCTTTAGAGAAGTGGTTCATTCCAAGCCTGGGCCACACACACACACAAAAAAAAAATACAAGATAAGCCTGGAACATCTTGTAGGGCCAGAAAATAAGGAATTGCAGCCGGGCTCGGTGGCTCAGCCTGTAATCCCGCACCTTTGGGAGGCTGAGGTGAGTGGATTGCCTGGGCCCATGGGTTCGAGACCCACCAGGGCAACTTGGCAAGACCTCATCTCTACAATAAATCAAAAATTAGCTGGGCGTGGTAGCGCGCACCTGTAGTTCCAGCTACTTGGAAGGCTGAGGTGGAAGGATCGCCAGAGCCCAGCAGGTCGAGGCTGCAGTGGCCAGGAGTGGCCACTTCACTCCAGTCTGGGTGACAGAGTGAGACTCCAACTCAAAAAAAAAAAGAAAAGAAAAGAAGGAATTGCTAAAAAAAATATCAGAGGCATATCAAAGTGACACAGGGGCCAACCTAAAGGAGCTTTCAGTGAACAAAGCTGAACAACTGGAATCAAGTAAATGATAGTACTGAAATATAACCTACAGAATAAACATCTGTGAGTCCATGATAATAATAAATAATTGAATAAGTAAATGATGAGGGAGAATGGACAGTTCTTCCATACTGAAGAATTTCAATTAATAAATTAGATGAGGGAACTATAAAATCACCAATGAGTAAATACCATAGTAATAACTATCACGGGCAAGATCCACCAATACATACTGGGTACAAGTCTGAGGAAAAACAGGATAGCAGCACAGTCTCACAATATCTCCCAAGATATTCATCAATTACAAGAAAGAAAAACAGTAACATTAAGTATAGAAACCCAGCACACATAACCTTAACTAAATAATCAAAGTTAACATCACCAATAATAAACTATGTCAATATCATGCACCACCCCCTGATATGATATATTCAGAAGGACACAATCACAAATAACACTTCTATGGTATCTTTGTTTTTCTTTTTTTTTTTTTTTGAGTTGGAGTCTCACTCCGTCCCCCAGACTGGAGTGCAGTGGCATGCTCCCAGCCACCACAGCCTCGACCTGCTGGACTCCAGCGATCCTTCCGCCTCAGTCTTCCAAGGAGCTGGAACTACAGGCGCGCACTACCACACCCGGCTAATTTTTGATTTATTGTAGAGATGAGGTCTTGTCAAGTTGCCTGAGCGGGTCTCAAACCTGCGGGCTCAGGCAATTCACTCACCTTGGCCTCCCAAAGTGCTAGGATTACAGGCTGAGCCACCGAGCCCAGCCTCTGTGGTATCTTTGGCAAAAAAATAAAACTGTGATCTAATAATGAAAAAACATCAGACAAACTCAAATGGTGGCATCCTACAGGACAATAGCCAGTGTGCATCAAAAGTGTCAAGGATGGTTTATGCCTATAATCCCAGTGCTTTGGAAGGCCAAGACAGGAGGATTATCTGAGTCCAGGAGTTTGAGACCAGCTTGGGCAATATAGCGAGACCCCTTCTCTACAAATTTTTTTTTTAAATTAGCCATGTGTGGTAGCGTGCACCTCTAGTCCCAGCTACTTGGGAGGCTGAAGTGGCAAGATCACCTGGCCCACAAGTTCGAGGCTGCAGTGACCTATGATCACACCACTGCCTCCAAACCTGGGCAACAGAGCAAGACTGTCTCTCAAAAAATAAATAAAATTTTAACAAGTGTTAAGGTCATGAAAACCAGGAAAGAAGTAGGAACTGCCATAGACTGGGGAAGACTAAGGAAAGACAACAAATAAAAGCAATGTGAGGTCCTAGATTGGATCCTGGAGCAGAAAAAGACCATTACAGGGAAAAATGGGTGAAATTTCAATAAGGTTTACAGTTCAGTTAGTGGTAGTATTATGAAAGGTCTTTATTCTGCTTTACACTTTTTAAAATTTATTTTCTAAACGGAAAACATGACATTTACAATAGGAAAAAATTTAATTTGTTTATTATCTTTTCCTTTCTATCATATTTATTCAAAATTATATCATAGAGTAATCACAAAAGGGTACATAAGCAGTAACTTTCCTTACTGCTCATTGTGCTTCCCACACACACCTGCCACAGCTTTTGCTTTGAGCATCCTCCTTGGCACAACAGCATTCATTACATGGAAAAGGTATAGGCAGCAAGATCACTATGTGTAAAGGGCTCTGCTGGCCATGGGCTCTGCAGCAAGGAAATACGATTATGAGTGACTTTTCCTCCTACATTTTTTAGTGAGGTTTTAACAATAAAAATATGTATGTATTTTTTTAAAGAAAATATACATACATATTTTAAAGTGAGGTACAACATACCCTGTGACCCACTAATTCCACCTCTAAGTATTTACTCAGGAGAAAAAAAGTATGTCCATGATATACGCAACAACACACATGAATCTCAAAATCATTATGCTGACCCAAAAAAGCCAGACAAAAAAAGCATATGCACGTATGATTCCATTTATATGAAGCTCTAGAATAGACAAGAACTATGCTGAAGGAAATTAGAACAACGCTTGGTGACAGAGGGGGGACTGACCGGAAAGGAGAACGAGCATTTTCTGGGATGAGAGGATACACAGGTTCTGTGCCTTGATCAAAATGACAGCGACACGATTGTGTACATCTGTGAAAACTGATCAAACGATCCATATTATTATATACGTCACTGTTTTGTAAGTTATGCTTCAACTTAAAAAAGAAAGAGTACTGATGAGGAAAAAATGTGGCACAAAGATTTCATATGGTTAAAGTAGCCTGCAATTTTCTATGTCATAATTATCCACCTAAATGAAATGTGTTGTTGGTTTAAAAAAAAATAACCAAGGCTGAACACAGTGGCTCATGTCTGTAATCCCAGCAATTTGAAAGGCCAAGGCAGGAGGACTGCTTCAGACCAGCCTGGGCAACCATAGCAAGACTCTGTCTCTACAAAAAAATTTAAAAATTACTAAAGCACTTTCCTCCTGCTTGTAGAGAAAAAAAAAATCAAAAAATTAGCCAAGCTTGGTGGCACATTTCTGCAGTCCCAGCTACTAGGGAAGTTGAGGCAGAAGGATGACCTGAGCCCAGGAGGTCAAAGCTGTGGTGCCACTGACCTCCAGCCTGGGCAACAGAGTGAGACCCTGACTCAATAAATAAATAAATAAATAAGGCAACTAAAGTCAGGAAATTCAAAGAGACAGAAAGTATTGGTGGGAAAGGGGGAATGGGGAAATATTGTTTAATGGGTATGAAGTTTCTCTTTGGGAAGATGAAAAAGGTTCTAGAGGTGGATGACAGTGATAGTTGCACAGTAATATGAATATTCTTAATGCCAATGAACTGTACACTTAAAAATGGCTAAAATGTAAATTTTGTTATGTATATTATATCACAGTTTTTTTAAAAAAGTAAAAATCCTAAAATCTAGTCTCATCATATTATTGCTTAGATCAAAGAAACTGTGGAGATCTACCTTGCTTGCATTCTTTGAAAAGAATCAAGTTGGGAGAGAAACACAACATCAATAAGGGTATCTCAAACCAGGCAAAGTAGTGACCAAAGGGAGGCCCAAACTTTACCTGTATGATGTCCACTTATACACCTAATCCTGAATTGTATCCCACATCTTTAAATAAATAAATAAATAAATAAAAAAGAATCAACCATTCCTATACAAATCCTTCTGGATGTAAGCCACAGGAAAACAATCTCTATGCTTTTCTCTCATTTTATTTTAAACTTTAGATCTACTAAACTGTCATTACAGAAGACTATGAAGTTTGTTTCCTTAGGAGTACTGGTCCTAAATTATTCTGGGGTTACAGATGATTTTGAAGAATCTGATAAAAGACACTGACCACAATTCTTCACCTGAGAGTAATGAAGCTCTTCATCTATCTAGTTCATATATTAGGCTCTCAAAAGTTTAGATTTTGAAAGGAAAAGAGAACCATGTGTGACTGAATTACAGGCAGAAGTAGGAATTCAAGCCTTGCATGCAAGTCAGGCAGAGGGACTTCAGCCCACTTGCCTCAGACACACCCCACCCTACTTCCCTGGGTCTCAGAGCAATCAGCACACTCAAGCCCAGGCTGAATCTATCTGCCCACCTGGACAGATCCAGGAGGCACCAGCACTACCCAGGTGGCTTACCTCATGCTAGGAATGGCATGGTAGCCCAATCGAAAGCGGAGTTTGCTGGACCCGGCAAAATCTGCAATCACCTTTTCCCCAACAGTATGCATATGTTCGAGGAGTCGAAGGTGTTCCCTGGTCACAACCTTCAGGCTGGAAATGGAGGCCCATGGTAAGACCAGCCAGTGGTGACGAGCCTTAGGGTATTTATCCTTAATCACCACTACCTGTTCATCTTTATAAACCTAGCAGAGGGCACAAAAGAAGGAAAAAGACACCTACTGAAAATCTTCTGTGTGCCAGGTACTGTCATATTCATTAAGTAACTTAATTCCCATAAGCTTGTGCAAATGGTTTTAATATCCCAGTTCTGAGAGATGAGAGCACTGAGAATCAGACAGGTTGAGTGTTTTGTACAAGTCACATGGTTACTAAATGGGAAATCTAGGATTCCAACCCAGATTAAGTTGACTCCAGAGTCTGCTTTCAACCACCACACTATACAGAATACAGAGACGATACACAGTACAAAATAGTTCCCAACAATCTGATTAAAATCTCAATGCATAAAAAGGGGACCCAAAAAAACTGGAATTATCTTTCAGAGGGCAGGCCCCTTGTAGTACACTTGGAATCTGTTCCTCTGGATCAAAAAGTCAAACGAAGTTTTTATCTGGAAATTTTGAAAAGGCTGCATCACGATTTGTAGAAGAAACATCCCAAGTTGTGGCAAACAGGTGATTGGTTCTTCTACCATAAAAACACACCTGCCCACAACACACGTGTTCAGCAGTTTTTAATCAAAAATGGCATGAAGCCAGGCATGGTGGCTCATGCTTGTAATTCCAGCACTTTGGGCGGCAGAGGCTAGAGGACTGCCTGAGCCTGGGGGTTCAAGATCAGCCTCGGCAACTTGGCAAGACCTTAATAAATCAAAAAATTAGCTGGGTATGGTGGCATGCACCTATAGTTTCAGCTTCTTGGAAGGCCAAGGCAGAAAGATAACTTGAGGCTAGCAGGTAGAGGCTGCAATGGCTGTGAGTATGCCACTGCCTGCACTCCAACCTGTGTGACAGAGTGAGACTCTAACTCAAAAAAAAAATTTATATGATCTCCATGCCCCACCCTCCTTATTCACCCAATCTTTCCCTGATCTACTTTATTTTGTTTTCCTGGATGAAAAAAATCCTCAAACAAAAACTTTTTCTGATGTGGAAGAGGTGAAACGAAAAATGGCAGAAGCACTAGAAGGCATCAAAATTGACGAATTCAAAAACTGTTTTGAGCAGTGGGAAAAGCATCTCAGTAGATGTACTGCAACAAATGGAGAGTACTTTGAAAGTGATTGAAGTTTAAACATGTACGAATAAATACACAATTTTTTATAAATAAACATCGCGTTTGGGTCCCCCCTCATAAACATACATACACATGTGGACCTGCCCCTTGTCAAACAGGATATAATTGAAACAGAACTCAAAGGCTCCCCCAAGGATGACACCTGACTATTAATACCAGGCCAGCACAATACTACTGTTACAGTATATTATCTCCGAATTTCCCTTGAAAGGAACCACACTAAGGTTAGCCAGAAATTTAAAATGGGACAAGGTAGAGGGGATATTCATTTGAAGAACTTAGCTCTCTCTCCAAAGAAACCCAGTTGTTACCTTATTATCAATGGGAAAAGCCTCTTGTTCTCACAGAATAGCCCAATAAAATAAATCTCATTCAGAAGGAATGATATCCTTTGATTTCATTTGTAATTATGACCTCTGTGGTATAGTCATTTACAACAGGAAATGTACTTAAATTCCAAAATTTTATCCTGACCTGCATTTTGGGGTCCTGCATAGAAATCTTCAGGCCTTGACTCCAGTGGCCCAATGATTCCTAAACAAAAAAGGGCAATGTAAATTGCAAATGCCAATAAATAAATTTAACAACAGTTAATACTGTGTGAAAGCAAAGTCCAACCAAACTTGGAAATAACCTTAGTTTTTGAGAATTAAACTAGACCCCCTATGCTTCAATCTTTGCCTTTTAGGACCATATGCTGTCCCCTCCTGTATTAAGAGCTGGCTATCTTGACAAAGGTCAGAAATGCCCAAGTATGAGTCTCATCCTCTTTGCCCTCTCACACTCTAGCTACAGCCTAAGATTCCACAGTGGCATCAGCATGTGAATTACATGATCTATGAAAACCTTGATATACAAACAACTGACCCACTTTAGTTGTTTACTATTAAATACACTGCTTTTATTGCCCCACCTTCAAGTGGCTTACCTCAGGAATTTAAGAGAAAAGCACATAAAGGGACATTCACCCAAGTGATTTTTATACAGCAAACAAGTGACTCTTTTATCATGGTTAACAACCCCTCACAGATGTCTGGGCTTCACAGTGTACAAAACAATTAAGTAGTCATTATATCTCATTTATCTCCACATCATCTACCAATCACACTAGCCTCACCTTTTTGGTAGGTGCATCTTTCCCCTTCTTTGGGGGTACAGAGCACTGGCTAAGGCTGCTCCCAGGTTCCAGTCCTGTTTCAAGCTTAGCTTCCTGGGCAGCAACCGTTTCTATAGAATCATTGTTGCCTGATCTCTTTCTCTTCCTGTGTGTTTCCAAGCCGGGACTCTTGGCCTCCTCCTCAAACTCTACAATATATGGATAAAGTTCATTCACCATGTGTAGAACTTGGCCAGGCTGCAGATTCACCTCTTGATCCTTCCCAATTATGACTGAGTCAATGCTGGTGGGATTGACCCCTACCTATGGAATAAACAATCAGAAAATAATTATAATAACAGCAATAGCATCATTAGTAACACAGTCTGCTAAGTTAACCACTTACTATATGCTAGGCACCAAGTTTAGCGTTCACCTGTATTATTCCATCACTTCCACACATGACAGAGAAGCATTCATTGGCTGGCACAGACACTCTGAAGTCAACAATGTAAGAAAATCATCGAGTATAAAATGGAAATCCAAGTTACAAACACACATACCTGCTTTACCTTGACATATCCCTTGTTACACTCTGCTTTCAACTGTACTGAAAGAGATTGAAAAAAGTTAGAAACACAAAAGAAACAAAAAAGCGGGCACTTGGACCTGTTTTTCCTAAAAAACAATGAAGCCTCACAGCAGGACTCAGAGGCCTATTAACAATCACCTGTTACATTTGTGGCTGCGCCCTCAAATCCCACCAATATCTAAAAGCTTCAAATCCATCCATAAAATGACCAATAGTGCACATACTCCCTCAGCTACTGCTAATGTCCCTATGAGGCAATTTCAATGAATTCCCAATAAATTTTCCTATTCCAGAACCCCTGGCCCACTCAGGATCAGACTCTGCCACCAGGAAAGAAGACACATTTACTTCATAAGCTCTTGGCTCAGGATTAAATCAGGTTTCCAGTATTATTGTGAGAAAGAAAAAAAAAAAAAAATTACCAGATGCCTTCAAAAGAGAATGAGGCAGAAGACACTTCCTGAAAAACAGAAATTCAGCTGGTCTTGGGTGGGAGGAGTGGAAAGAATGGTCTAGAAAGAGGACTGCAGGGATAGAAAAGTCTGAGCATGTGTGAGAATAGTAACATTAAACATTGCTCGGCCGGGCACAGAGGCTCAAGCCTGCAATTCCAGCACTTTGGGAGGCTGAGGGGAGAGGATTACCTTAGTCCAGGGGTTCAAGACCAGCCTAAGAAACTTGGTGAGCCTTCGTCTCTACAATAAAACAAAAATAGCCAGGCATGGTGGCACATGCCTGTAGTTCCAGCTACTTGAAAGGCTGAGGCGGAAGGATCGCCTGAGCCCAGCAGGTTGAGGCTGCAGTGGCCATGAGCGTGCCACTGCACTCCAGCTTAGGCGAGAGTGAGACTCCAACTCAAAAAAAAATTGCTGTTCTGATAAATAAACAAAGTATCTGGAGTTGAGACAGGGAGCAAAGAAAAGACCTCACCTGGGAGGACAGGCTGACAAACACACATGGTCCTATAGTTGCTGTTGTGAGGAGGGGGACAAACAGAGAAGCAATAGCTGCTTCTGTATCTTGGGCTTTGCCAGCTCAAGCATGGCTTTTTTTTCCTTCCACTTAGATGAACTCATGTAGGAAAGACATAATCAGTGCTGCAGACTCCAATTCTCTAAGTCCAGAACTCTCAGGAAGCCCGGCTATAGGAGTCACACTGTAGGCAGCAGTGAGTATGTCCAAAGTTTACAGGAAAAAAATGAGGTACAAGCCGGGTTCAGTGGCTCAGCCTGTAATCCCGTGCCTTTGGGAGGCTGAGGTGAGTGGATTGCCTGAGCCCGCGGGTTCAAGACCCGCCTGGGCAGGCCAGACCTCATCTCTACAATAAATCAAAAAATTAGCTGGGCATGGTAGCACATGCCTGTAATTCCAGCTACTCGGAAGGCTGAGGCAGAAGGATCGCCGGAGCCCAGCAGGTCAAGGCTGCGGTGGCCGGGAGCAGCCACTGCACTCCAGTCTGGGCAACAGAGTGAGACTCCAACTCAAAAACAAAACAAAACAAAAACAAAAAAAATGAGGTACACAATAAGGCTTTTTTCTAAGGGCAAAGACTTTCATTTCATTAAACCCACAAAAGACAAGTGCTGGATGCCATCACTTAAAGATACTGCCCTCTATGTGAGGCAATATGTAGAGGCTGGCACCAGCTCATCACTTCTCAGACAGAATTTCACCTGTAAGCTACAGAGTTTATCTGTCCTCCTGCCCCTGAGCAATCTCCCTGTGCACAGTAGGGTGCAGGACTCAATTCCACCATCCCATGGTAACAGAATGGAACCTGCTTGCTCCCAGCCTTCATCCACCCTGCCTTGAATGTTACCCTATTGGGAGGGTGGAATCCGGAATAAATGGTGTCCTGGAGCTGGCTAAAAGAGCTCAGTTCCTGAGTTTTATTTCTGGCAGACAACAGGTTTTTCATCATGAGCACCCAGGAAATATGCATCTCAGTTATCATTAGCCCACAGAACCAAACATGGTAATCTCCACATTCCTATGACCAGTTACCTTGCTGTCGAGAACATTTCTTATCAGTGATCTTGGTCTCTGGGCCACGCCCAACCACAACTGCTTCCAAATGCGGAAGTTTGATTCGCTGGTGCCGGCTATCCTGTCTCACCAACCAGCACACCCGCATCATCACTAACAACAGACAAAACAAGAGAATTACTGGAAAAACAGATCCATGAGCATGAGTTCTCCAGGGCCACGCCCAGCACTGCCACACAGGTAATTTATCAGCTGTTCGTTCATCTTGAGGCAGGTGACTTCACTTCCCAAGTCTCAATGTGTTCACCTATAAACCATGATAATGACAGGACTCAGGAGGCTGTTGTGAGGATTAAATGAGATAATGTGGGTAAGCATTTACCTCCTTGCCTGAATCATGCTAGTAATCAAATATTTGTTACACCTGTATTGATATACTCTATGTGCTGGACATCAGGCTGCATGTTGGGAGTCAAGGGGTGAATAAAACAGGGATATTGTTTCAATCCTTGAATGCCTGGAGTGTAGTGAGGCAGACAGATTCATATACGAATTATTATAATATAACATGATAAAGATGACAGGAAGAGGCTGGCACCAGCCTAATATGGCATCAGCCCAGTGAAAGGACTGACTCTTGAGGAGAGTATTTAAAAAGGCTTCAAGAGGAAGGGATATTTACATGGGATTTTAAAGGATGAGAAGATGTTTACCTGCCAGAGCACTAAGAACATTAGAAAGATGTTCTTCAGTTCTTAGGTGTCTTTATGTTTCCTTTCTTAATTGTCATAATATACTGATATTAGAACAAAACATTTTAGTCCAGAAGATTGTCATAATATGCAAATGTGAATATGGTAATTTTGTGCAATAAACAACTTGCATAACAGTGGAGTGTGATGTTTCTTTTAAGAAATAACCTTTATGCCACGTAGAGAGACAAAACAAGAGAATTGCTGGAAAAACAGATCCATGAGCAAAAGAGAAAGACAAAAAAATCAGAAGAGAGATGAGGTCTGCAGAGAGGCAGAAGCAAAGGGGATGGAGAGGAAAAAGAGCCAGGGGAAATCTAGAAGATACACTTAGTTACTGATGACATTTGGGAAATGACAAAGGAATAAAGGGAGACACCAGCCAAGGATTTTTAATTTGGAAGATACCCATTAACCAAAATGAAAAATACATAAGGAGACATAATTTGGGTACAAAGAAGAAGGTAAAAAAGAACCAGATCAGGCACAGTGGCTCAAGCCTGTAATCCCAGCACTTTGGGAGGCCGAGACGAGAGGACTACCTGAGCTCAGGGGTTCGAGACCAGCATGGGCAATTTGGTGAGACCTTGTCTCTACAATAAATCAAAAAATAAGCCAGGTGTGGTAGCACATGCCTGTAGTTCCAGTTACTTGGAAGGCTGAGGCGGAAGGATAGCCGGAGCCCAGCAAGTGGAGGCTGTGGTGGCCATGAGCGTGCCACTGCACTCCAGCCTGGGCAACAGAGTGAGATTCCGACTCAAAAAAAAAAGAAAAAAACATAAGGAGACATAATTTGGGTATAAAGATGAAGGTAAAGAAGGACCAATTTCATGTTGAAATGCATGCATTTCATGTTAAGTTGCCTATGGATGATCCAAGAATCAAGCTGGGATATATGGGTATGAAATGCAGGAAAGAAAGGAACTAAATGTATATATCTGAAAAGCATCAACATGTCATAGAAGCTGAGAAAAATAAAGAGGATGAGATCACCCAGGGAGGTGGTAAAGGGAACCATGGGCAGGGATAGGACTAGCTCTTTGGGACGCCTCCCTAGACTCTAGAACCTTATCAATGCTCAGGCCTCTAACACTCTTCTCCCAGAAATGCCACCAACAGTCAAGGCAGCATTATGCCCTCTGTACAAGCCTGGCGTCCATAAAGAAAAAAGAAACCGGACTTTTAAAAATCAAAGTTTCGCTGGGCTCGGTGGCTCAGCCTGTAATCCCGTGCTTTGCCTGAGCCCGTGGGTTCGAGACCCGCCTGGGCAACTTGGTGAGACCTCATCTCTACAATAAATCAAAAAACTAGCCGGCTGTGGTAGCGCACGCCTGTAGTTCCAGTTACTTGGAAGGCTGAGGCAGAAGGATCGCTGGAGCCCAGCAGGTGGAGGCTGCAGTGGCCAGGAGCAGCCACTGCACTCCAGTCTGGGCGACAGAGTAAGACTCCAACTCAAAATAAATAAATAAATAAATAAAATAAAAATCAAAGTTTCATTACCATCTACAAAGACAAGACAATGCAAGGAAGAGTGAGGAAATGAGAGCTGAGAATGTATAAATTCAAATGAATTGGATGAGTGTGAGTATATGTTTGCTGAGTCGTGTATTAGGACGGGTTTCCAGAAACCATTCTAGACAAGGCTGAGAGCAAAGAGGGCCGATAAGGAAAAAAAGGAGTGGGAGGGGGCATACCATTTTAAAAAGCACAAGTGACAGCACAGATTTCAGCAAGTCATGGGACAAGGGTAGAAAGCAGATTTAGTTGGCTGAACCAGAGGCAGCACCTCGATGAGTCACAAAAAAGAAGAGTTGTTAAAGGAACACTAGGCTAAAAAGTTTAGATTTAACATAATCAATAGGAGACAACTGCCAGGTTTTGAGCTTCCCAGTGAGATGAAACGACAGAATTAAAAGAAAACTTTGCCAACAGCTGTGTGTAGGCAGTTTAGAGTGGAGAAATTTAGAGGCAGAGATTAGTCAGGAGGCTGTTAACATAATGTAGACCAGAGAGGTCAAAAAGGCAGTTCAGCAAGTCTCCGTGAAGAAGCTGATATAAGAGACTGAAGAGTCAGCTGTAAATCTAAAATCCTACACCTGGAGCTTCAAATGATGATGGTGCTACAGGTAAGTCCTGCTTTTGAATGCTCTGTGTTCTGAGGGACATCTGTTTGCACTTGCTGGAAACTAATGAATGGGTGAGGGACTGAGAAGTGAAGTATGCCTTCACTAGGCACTGGGAAATAAGTCATATGGTGACTGACTACTCATGCTGACAGAAGGAGAAGCCAGAACAGCACATCTGAAGAGCCAGGACAGGGGGAATCCAATGGGCAGTCAAGAGCAGGGCGGCTGATGCAGAATAATAGGAGCTACCCCTCTGCCCTCCACAAAGATACTTACACACCTTATTCCCCCAAAGTTCTCAAGTTAGGATGTTTCTATTTGCTACTCCCTGAGAAACTGAAGCAGTGACTGCACAATGTTTATGCAACTAACCTTAAACAATATCTTGGCAACCGTTTCAGCCTCCAGTTCCAACTTCTAGGAACGAAGCGTTTTAGAATATGTGATTACAGAAGGATGAGTGATCCTGAATCTTCGATCCAGTTCCCCCAGTACAACTCCATAAACTGGAAATTCTATGACAGCAGAAGTCATGCCCATTTTTTCTCATCAATAGATCCCTAGCACCTAATACAATACTTGGCATACAGCAAGCATATTATAAATGCTTGCAAGAGAACAATCAGATGCTGACTTTATCCAAGCTGTCTTTTCTTCCTTTCTCTCTACTCCTCCAGTTCTTCTTACGTTGGAGTGCTCCTCTCTCAGGGCAATCCCATACATTCTCACATCTTGGTGGCTGAACGCTAATTCTCTATTCTCCAGATCTATGGCTTTCATTCCAGAGTTGTGGAGATTGGTCAGAAAGAAACTCTTGAGTATTCCTTAAAGAACCCAAGCAATCTGATAGACCACACAAGGCTAGAAAGCTGGTAACCTGGAACAGTGCTGTCCAACAGAATTTTCTGCAATGATGGAAATATTCCAAACCAGCACTATCCAATAAGGGAGCCATCATGTGACAATCAAGCATTGAAAACATAGCTAGTGCAACATAGGAATTGTATTTTTTTGTTGTTTTTTGCTTTTTTTTTGAGTTGGAGTCTCACTCTGTCGCCCAGACTGGAGTGCAGTGGC